TCAGCTTCATGCCGCTGCTGGAATTAAGATATCAAGATAATCAAATAAAAATGAATTTTACAACCAATCTTTTGAATAAAATTTAGCAAATATTTTTCCCGATTCCATGAAAAAATCTCCGCTTCGCTTCGTTCAGTGTGGACACCAGCAGCTTCGCTTTGTTCCGCCTTGCTTTGCTCGGCGCCGCTCTGCTTTCTGTGTGAACACACCCTAACAAAGTTCTATGGGGAAAGCTGTTGAATAATATTTTTACTATAGTGAGATAGTTGTGCCAATCTGCTGTGTGAAATGGAATCTTTTTTGAGAGCAGTAAATTTTTGATAACCGCAGATTTATGCGGAATAAAATATTGCAAATTGAATTGAAATTAATATTTTAAGAAAACATCTACCATCGTTGATTACAATGCATCAATTTGAGCTTTTATTTAATGAAAAATTACACATCAACAATCTTTGCGATTGTTAAAATTTTCTATGCATTTGTAAAAAATTTCACTAGCCTCATGAGATACTGAAATTTTAATCACCTCATAGTTGTCAAAAATTTACTCGCCGCGAACTTTGTTACTGAATCACACACGCTCTATGTAAGTAATTTTCTGCAGTGGAACATTTTCCAGTATTCAGATATATGAATAAAATTTATAGCAAGTAATTAAACAAAAATATTTTCAAGACAAGCTTTTATACCTGGTGAACATAATAAAGCCTTGTAAGAAGTTCTAGTTCCATTTCCAATAAAATAACCGCCCAATTCTGTGTTTTCTTGATAAATTATTTGTAAAGAATTTTTAACAAGATCTTTATCTCAAGTAAAAGCTCCCACCGCATTCTGTGTCAATATTTATAAAATAAAAAGCTCTACGATTTCCACATGAGGGGAACTGATTTCCACCTGAATAGAACTCATTTTATTGTCACATATGAAAAATATGAATTTAAAATCAAACAAGTAAGAAAGTCTAAGTTCGGGCGGCGCCGAACATTAAATACTCGGCGCAAGTATTAAATATATGATTTTCACCTTTCCGAAAGCTACCGCTACTCGGTAAGCCGGGATGTATCAATTTTGAGTAAATTAGCGTCCTTAAATTTCGAAATATTGAAGTTTCAAAATATCATATATTGAGATTTCAATAATATTCAACGCTTTGTATTTATGTGGCAAGCACAATAACCAAGTTTGGTACAAACTGGTAGAACGGTTACCGAGATACATATACGTGATTATAAGTGGGCGGTGCCACGCCCCTTTTCCAAAATTTTATCATAAATGTATTTCTTGGTAATGAATTGTTGCAAGCATCAATTTTGAATAAATTAGACTTAATATTTACTGATTTATCAAAGATTGCGTACTTCTCCAAATTACCGTTATATAGCATGTGGGCTTGGTTATTGTCCGATTTTAAAAATTTTTAGCCATTTGGTATGCTGTAGCAAGGCGAACAACTGTACCAGGTTTGGAAGAAATTGGTGGAGCGGTTACCAAGATATACACATGTAACCATAAGTGGGCGTGGCTACACCCATTTTCCAAAAATTTATAATATTCTTATTTTTTGGCTAAAAGTTATTGTAAATATTAATATTGAGTGAATAATCTTCAGTAGTTACTAAAATATCGCAGTTCTCGTATTTCTGAAAATTACCGTTATATGGGAGGTAGGCGTGGTTATTGTCCGATTTTGCCCATTTTCAATACCATCCGTCATACGCTTAATCGATCATTTATGTATACATTTGTCTATATGTATCGATACGTTTTGCCTGTTACCAACTACCGGTATGTGAACAAAGTTATAATACCCTATTTCACAAGTGCGCTCGGGTATAAAAAGCTTTTGACTGCCGTAGTCGAGTAGGTAGAGATGTCGACTAGAGCTGGAAAACGACCATCGATAGTTTCGATAGTCGATAGTCACAACTATCGGTAGCATCGATACTATCAAAAATGTCGACACTATCGATAGTCCTATCGATAGTTTTGATTAAAAAGTCCAAAAATTAAACATAACAACATTTATTGAAAATGGCCATATTTTTGTTAAGGAACAAAAGTTTATCAATGAAATGATTTGCCCTACTTTGCCAAATATCCTTTCCGACTCACAAGATAAAGCCGGTACCTCCGGCTTTTACTCTTATATAGGCGGCATACACTGTGCGTCTGACTCCCGAGTCATTTATGTACGTGTTGACTCGCCTTTCACTACACACAGTTGAATCATTCACAGTCAGTCCAGGAGTCATGTCGGTGTAACTAACACAAATTTGTTTTCACAAACACATCCCAACCGACTCGCGAGTCAGACGCACCGTGTATGCCGCCCATTACTGAATAATGTATTTATTAGTGAAAACTATCGATAGTGCTTACAAACCCATCGATGTTTTCGATAGTCAAAAACTATCGATACTATCGATAGTGCCATCAATAGTTTTCCAACTCTAATGTTGTATATTACAAAATTTGTTTCCATAATTTAAATACTGTAAGTGCCGCCATTTGAACCGGCGACACACGGAATTATGGTCGACATCTACCTACCGGCAGTCAAGAGCTTTTTTGGTTTTAAGTTCATAATTTTCATATGTGAAAATAAAATGAGTTATACTCAGGTGGAAATCAGTTTCCCCCATTAGGGAATCGTAGAGCTTTTTATCTTCCAAACTTGGCATAGTTGTTGACCTTGGTACAACATACCAAATGGCCGAAAATTTTCAAAATCGGACAATAACCACGCCCACATCCCATATAACGGCAATTTAGAGAAATACGAAATATTTGACAAATCAGTAAATATTAAACCTAATTTATTCAAAATTGATGCTTTCAACAATTCATTACCAAGAAATACCTACTTTTATGATACAATTTTGGAAAATGGGCGTGGCACCGCCTACTTATGATCATATACATGTCTCGTTAACCGTTGTACCAATTTGTACCAAACTCGGTATGGTTATTGTGCTTGCCACATAAATGCAAAGCGTTGAAAATTATTGAAATTAGACTAAGATTGCGGCCGCTTTTCATATAACGGTAAATTTCAGAAATGCTTGAAACTTTAATATTCCGAAATTTAAGGACTCTAATTTACTCACAATTGATACTAACAACAATCTCTTGAAATCAAGTAACATTGTTTGGAATTTTGCAAAATGGGCGTGATCTCGCCCACATATAATATAATAGAATGGCGTCTACACATATGTTAGTGTTTGGCCGAGCTTCTCTTCCGATTTGTGGCGTGCGCCTTGATGTTATCACACAAAGCGGAGGGACCTACAGTTTTACGCCGACTCCGAACGGCGATTGTATTTTTATGAGAAACGTTTTTCCTATATTTTTTGCGATGTTGCTTTGACCAGGGTTTGAACCCAGGTGCTGCGGAGTGGAAGCGCGCACTGCTTACCACTACACCACAGCGGCCGACACATATGACTACATAAATTTATGTCATTATATCTAAGTGAACGTTCTATCGAAGGTGTTTAAAATAGGGGTAAAATCACCGGCCTACCACGTAGCGCTAGTTTTCGGAAAGGTGGAATACATATATTTAATACTTGCGCCTGGTATTTAATGTTCGGCTCCGTCCGAACTTAGACTTTCTTACTTGTTATTTTATAAATATTTACACAGAATGCGATGGGAGCTTTAACTCGATAAAAATGCTTTACAAATAATTTATCAAGGTAACACAGAATTTGGCGGAAAATTGATCATTTTTACATGAAATTTCTTATTGTAAACGCTTGTCAATAGTATTTTCAATCTTAATAGTTCATCAAGGAAAGAGCTTTTGATTTCTAGGCTAGAATCCCAATTTTTGATAAATAATAAAAAATTGCCAACTTATAAAAATTTTTAATTTATCAAGTGCACAGAATCGGGCTGTAAATATTTATAATGTTTACATACAAAAAAAATACGGTTTACTCGGTATTCGAAAAATCTAAAATCCAAAAAAAAACCGCTTAAAAATAAAAAAAAATATTTAAAATCGGTTTGGGAAAACCGAGTCATTCACCCTAATATATCCACAGGTATATTAACATCGATGTTTTTCCAAGCTCCACTAGTTATTAAACTGTTAATGTTAAATATGCATCATAATTTTATTTTTAGAAGATTTCTGAAGGGTACTATTGTTATTCGATCATAAAATTTTTATTTTTAACAATTTTGTATCAGTTCCATTAAAAAATTTATCTATTTTCCTTGTGAAATATATGAAAACTCAAAGTCCCGGCGCCACGGTTAAATGTTAGCCGATTTCAAAGTAAAAAATACGGGTCTTCTTATATTCGATGGATATTTATACTGTTTTCGGGGAAAAACTTTTTGGGCGACCCTAATACATACATATGTATGTATGTATTTGTATGTGATTACAATATCAAATTGTTAATATGGAACAATAAGAACACTCTATGAAAACTGAATTTCTTGACAGTTTCAAGAACTATTTTTATCTCTTTTTTTCTATTTTCAAGTGCTCAATACTTTGTGTTGCCAAGATGTACTTTATATGTATGTATATGTATGTACATTTTAAGCCAACACACTTTCATATGTGCCCAGATTGGTGAACATCACATGCAAAACACACAAACGCATACTCCTTATTCGTACTCTTACCATTTGCTACATACACATGTGAAACCCTAAGCATATAACAAAAATCATCGTATTCATGCTTTTGTATTCATTTCAATGCAAATTTCTAAAAGCATAATTTATTGAAAATATAAGCATTTGCATATATTAAATATTTAAACATAAAAATAAATTGTATGTATGTATATCTTTTCCACCACCACCACCACAACTGCCACCATCGTCGTCACCGCAAACTATCATTGCTGCATAAAATAAATTTGAATATACAACAACAATAAATTGTGCATAATCATCAAAAAATAAATAAACTTTCATCAACAACGGCTACGTACATATTACAACTCATACTCTACGTCGACGCTTTGTAGCTGTGGCGAAGGACGCGTTATGTCGCCAGACGCCAAGGGTTGTATGGATCGCAATGAATGCCTGGACTTGCCATGCCTCAATGGCGCCACTTGCATCAATTTAGAGCCACGTCTGCGTTACCGTTGCATCTGTCCGGATGGCTTTTGGGGCGAGAATTGTGAATTGGTGCAGGAGGGACAGACGCTGAAGTTGAGCATGGGCGCCTTGGCGGCCATATTGGTCTGCCTGTTGGTCATACTGAGTAAGCATACATTGAATATGAAAAACGAGAAACAAAAATACAGGAAAACGAAAGAACTTTTGCAAATCTTATGCACAGAGCGGCGCGGCATGTTCAGAATTCCAAAGCTACAAAAATAACAGCAGGCATGAAGGCAAAAAGAATTCAACGTAATCAGTGTTGCCAATTTATAAAACTAGTAGTAGTAATTAACCAACGTTGCATACTGCCTGCTAGTTGCAGCATCGCTACTGCTCGCATGCAATAGCTGCATCGTAGGCCTTTTCCTATTTTGTGTCCAAATTTTGATTACCAATTCGAATGCATAGAATTAGAAAGTTTTTTAGTCACAATTTTTTTATTCAATCCGTAATCTTGTTTTCATATTGCAAATAGAAAAACATCTTAATAATTTTTTCTTTACCATTTTAGCGCTTAGCGAAATCCAATACAAGAGATTATGTTTTAAGTTGCACTAGTTATTCGATTCGTAGCGTTGGTGGTAATGCTCTGTTGGTGTTGGTGCTACCATTATTCCGAAAGCCAAAAAGCTCGGCGCCAAAACATCATTTCGTACTTGTCTATAAGCATATACTAGCATTCAAACATAACATAGATACAACTTTAAAATATTACTATTCCTATGTACATACACTCCAACTTCCGTCTCTCGTATGAACCATTTCATCCCATTATAAGTGCAAGAACTTGCCTATGTACTAGCTACATATTCTTGCCTTCATACATCTAGCAAATACACACATACATTCCTTGTCTTATGCTCCTTTCACTCATTTAGGGCCGTCTGCACCATGTCTGATCAACAGTAACCGAAGGTAAAAACCTCCGGTTGAACAAATCGATTGCTTTATCGGTGTTATATGCAGGGAGCCGATAACGATGCTGAACTGGGTGTTAAAATTAACCAGAGATGGTGCAAACGGCCTATAGTCATTTAGTAGAATGCATGTTATTTTCTGAAACGCTTAGATTCTTCCACATGTGGACGCATAAGCACATGCATACATATTAACAAATTCGTTTTTTCTCAATCTCACATTTCATTTAAATACAATATTTGTGCAGTTTTTCGTATACATATGTGTGTGTGTGTGTGTAGATTCAACATTGTCGCATTTTCACCTTATCTTGTTTACAGGTCACAATTTCATGTCACCCTAACTTTTTATGTACATATGTATATACATACATACATACATATACATATGAAAACCAATTTTCAGCTTTTATAAATATTTTATTTGTACATTGGATTAGTCTTAAAATATTCTAACAACGTCAACACTACATTAATGTGTATGTGTGCAGTATTTACAGATGTACTATTTGTATGACATTTTTAATCGAGCGTAAGTAAATGATTTTCATCCATTTCCCTTAAACACTTTTAAATTTAAAATATCCGCAGTGCCGTTTTTTTCAAGCATTTCCAATTTATCTGCCCTTCAGACACATTTTCCATGACAAAATTTGTGTTTAAAGTGCAGATAAATTTTAAAACTTACTTAAAAAAAGACGGCCCGTAATAACATAAGTACGTAAAAATTGTTTTTTCCTTATTTTTTTGGGTCTTTACTATTCAACAACAACAAAACTTGTATGTGTAACTATGTAGTTGTTAGATATTTAAAATTACTATAAAAAGTGGTGTTTTTTATTACTATTACTACTTTTAACTATGTTATTGAGCTTTGTACAACAATGTCTTTGTTAGAAAAAGTTAAAAAAGCAACAAAGTTTAAGCGGTAGAGGTTATAGTTGCTACTTCGAAGATCAGGATCACCGCATCTCCTCTTCTTTCTCTAGACTTCAGCAGGAATCGAACCCTCAACATCGATGTGCAAAGTCAGCAATGGTAACCACTGATCTAAGCACGCCCGTAAAATCTTGTTGCTTATCCATCTCCTTATTCAACCTACTCATATGAAGTGCTGGTGATTCACCGCTAACTCAACTTGACAGGATGGTTCTATACATAAATTAGAATTATTGAATACTTTTAGCCAGGCTTATACTTGTTTGGTGTATGTTCAATCACCTCAAATTGGTTTGGTAAATGTTTGCTTAAAAATAAAATAATAAGGATGAGTCAAATTTAAAAGCTATTTATATAAAGTAAAGCGCATAAAAATTATATGCGTTATTTCCGAGAAAGAAATTGATGGCGACAGGGACCTGAGCACTTGTGTCTTTTCAATGTCACAGGATATTACGCAACCATTTCCTTTGTTGAAGAGATTCTATAATATTCAGTTCCCGGAGGTTGAATGCTGTGTTAATACCAGTACTGAGCCTGGATTCATACATTGTCGAATCTTGACTGATGGCTCCAAAACTTACTCTGGGCCAGGGTCTTTATCGAAGTTAAAGGGGATAAGCTTCACTTTTCTCTTGGAGAGTATGCTTCGGTCTTCCAGGCTGAGGTATTTACAATCGCTAAGGTCATGGACTACTGGTGGAAAATAGGTGGAGGGGAAGGAGTTTACGTGTATGCAGTGACAGCCAATCTGCACTTCAGGCAATGGACAACCCTCTAACTACTTCGAAACTAGTTCGGCAATGCAAGTTTCGACTAAATTATGTTGGCAACATTACGAACTTGCTTTACTCTGGGTGCCAGGCCACTCGAAAGTACTTGGTAATGAGACATTTGACCATTTGGCCAGAGTTGGCTCAGACAAGGCATTCATCGGTCTGCAACGAGTTTTAGCACTCCCCACTTATCCCATCGGAGCTACGATCAGGAATTGGAAGAATACTTTGATCAGAAATGACTGGGAGGCATCGAGGGTCTGCAGGTGGGCAAAGCTCATGTTCCCTTCAATCTCAAAAGGTCTGCCTAGTTTTTGCTCTCACTGAGCAGACGGGACTGCAGAAAACTTGTTGGACTGCTGACTGGTCACTTCACGTGACACAAACACGTGAATATGGTAGGCGCACATGACAACTCCATTTGCCCCTGCCTTGAAGAGGATGAGACGGTGGAACACTTTTTGTGCTTCTGCCCCGCCTTTGTAAAAATTAGGTATGAGACAATTGGCCGCGACGTGCTCTTTGACACCCAAAAATCTGTTTAGTTTTATTCGTAAATCGTACAGATTCAAAACACATTAAAAGGGACATGAAAACATTACTATGTACTATGGGCCAGCAAACGGTAAAAAGTGGCCAATATTCGAAATCTTATCGGAATGGCTTTAAACTTGCTACAGGGGGTTTTTTGGTATCGGTGATTACGAATCTGAAATGAGATTTTAAAAATTTTAAATGGCGAACAATATTGTTCAAGGTAATCGGATTCGCTTGAAACTTGTTACTCTATGATTTTTGGGCCCACTGATCACGAATTTTAAGTTATATTTCAAAAATTCGAAATGGCCCGATACGGCCGGCATAAAAAATACGCCTGTAATTAGCCTACATAAAATGTTATTTCCTAAGCCCACCAGGAGGAGACTAAACTACGAATTTAGACTTCACTTTTTGAATTTTTTGGTATTTGTTATTTTTTGTTCTTCTTTTTATATCATAATTTTTCTATCAATTACGAATGTGGACTTCACTGTTTTATTTTTTTTTTTGTATTTTGCATTTTTATTTTATTACAAATTACGAATTTAGACTTCCCTTTTTTATGTTTTTTTTTTAATTCTGGTTTCGCTTTTGTTATATGGGTCATTCCATACAATATTTACACCTCAATATTTTTTTTGGGTGAAATATATTTTTTTACATTCTTTATCGAAAACAAGAAGACACTTATTATTTGAATAAAGAATGTAAAAAAATATATTTCACCCCAAAAAAAATATTGAGGTGTAAATATTTTATGGAATGACCCATATATTTTCATTTTTTTATCAATTACGAATTCAGGTTTCACTTTTTTATTTTTTTGTTTAGATTTTTTGTTTTTTTTTACCAAAGACGAATTTAGACTTCGCGTTTCTATTTTTTTTTGTATATTATTTGTTTTTGTTTTTCTTTATTTTTTTTTTTTTTATTTTTTGTTTTTTTTTTAATTTCATCAGATTAAGGTGATTGAATGCTTCTCTCGGAAAAAAATGTTTACTTTTAGTTTTAAAATAAAATATTTTTTATTTATTTATTTATAACAGATGTACGGTAAGACATTTAGTCTTTTCATTTCACACATTTACCACTTAAATTACAAATTTGAAACTTATTTTAGACTTTAACTAACGGTAATATATTATTATCCAGAGTAAGAGTAAGGCTAAGAATAGATAAAATTAATTAACAAAGGTGAAGAAGTTAAGAGAGAGGTGCTTAGGTTACTAATTAAAGGAATATGTAACTGTAAAATTAAAGTGTGGATGAATCGTCAGCTATGTTTTACCTCATCATCTCAGAACTTATCTCAGCAACTCGGACAACTAAAAATTTAGAATTAATTATCTATACGTAGTGGCTGGGGGAAATAAGAATCAAAAATATTGTACGCCCAAGTTTGATAGGCATTTTATTTTATTACGCAATATGGCAAAATCAACTTTTTTCTGGGTATTGGCCAAAACAATTTTTTTCCAGAGATTGAGTCATAAGTAAAAAAAGTAATTTCTCCGTTTTTCGAAGTTAGCCTTCGAAGTCGAGATATGGGCCTTCGAAGTTCGAAATAGGACCTTTGGTAAAAATTTATAACACTTAAAATACAGTTCAAAATTTTTTTAAATATAATTTTTTTGATTTTTCGTAGATTATACCCTTGACCCCTTATAGCACCTGTAATATAAAGTAACGACTGGCGTACATTGTTGGACTGGGCCAAAATCGCTTAGGCGGTTACAGTGCCAAACAAGAAGAAAAGGGGGAGTTTCTTTCGTAATATTGTGTGCTTAAAGAGGAATGGGAAAGTCAAATCCAAGCGTTGAGTATTGTATTGTTAGCTAAATCCTTCCTCCCTGACGCTTCCTTTTTGCAAATAAATTCCAGTATACTTTTATTTATTATTTCCAGACATGCATCCATACATAAATGCA